TGAGGGAATGATGGTCTTGTTATTATGGAGGTTAATAATGGTCACCTCTGGTACGGCGGGGCCAGCCTGCAGAGATGATTTCTACACAATCCTTTCTCACGGAGCCTTCTCTCCAGAAGCCAGGGGTTCCCCAACTTGGCTGTGATGGGGGAGAATAAAATAAAGACCTTCCCCTCTGCCCCTGCCCTTTCCTCTCCCACTCCTTGAGGATTCCAGCAAAAAGGGAACCTTATAAAATCCCCATGCCTCCCCTCATTTTCCTCTGCTCTCTTCAGTTCACTAAAACTCACTGGCTTTGGGTGTTGGGCTTTTGTGGGGCGCCCTTCTGGTGAAGCTCGCAGGCAGTTACTAGACCAAGTCCTGTCTCTGACCCTGGAGGAGACCCAGGCTTCCCTTGCTTGCTCCATGGAAGGCTCCCTCTGCCCTTAAACTTGCCAGTCTCTGTCTTCTTTGGTCCTGGGTGCCTGATCCCATGGGTCTCTGGGAGCTCAGAGGCCACAAACAGATGAGGGCACATGCCCTCATCAACCCCCGAAAGGGACCGCAGCTTCCTATCATCACCTTAATTCTGAGAGCACCAGGCAGGGGAGCCTTCCATAAAAGACCCTAAAGCCAGCGTAACTCCTGAATCTTTCAAAACTGCATTTAAGCTCCTTTAAAAACATACGTCCTTCCCCCCTAAACAGGAAAGCTCAGGTCACAAATCTCCAGGAGAGCAAGCTTCCTGCACCCTTAGTCAGAATTTTGACAACAACAATATTCATAATAATAAGAATTAAAGCTTGCATCAAGGGAGAAAGGGACACCCCAGTCCAAGTTTTAAAGGGGTTATAATCCAGCAGCCTTGGCCTGGAGTGGGGGTCAGTGAGGCCAGGATGAGCAAAGAAGGCGGTGGGGAACCCAACCTCTTCTAACTAACAATTTCTCCAGCATAAAAATGAAACATCAAATTCGTTAGCCCAGGGCCTTCATTTTTCCCCTTCCACATTATAACTAGTTATTGAACTCGCTGGAAGATCTAAAGGCCATTTGCGAAGAGACAAATTTCAATGGAGTTTCCCCATCAATAACCCCATGGCAGTGACCTATTGGAACAAGTCAAACACCCGAGGTGAAATGCAGGTCACTCTGTCTAACCAATATTAAAATGCGGCCACTTTTTAAAAAGCCACTTTAAACGAGATTTGAGGAAAATTGAATTCCAAGGAAGGCAAGGCAAGGAGGGGGAAATCCATGAGAGGACCTTGCCTATGGTCTTGGAACAAACAAGGGAAATTTATCTTTAATATTTTAAAGGGGGGCAAATTAACATTCCATGATTGCTTTTTCCCCCCCAAGACTATAAGCGATTCCAGGAGAGAGAGAAAAAAGGTTGAGTATTTTCTGGTGACACGTCCAGGTTATTAAAATCATTTTAGACCAATTCATTACTTTTACTGACAAGAGATTTAAGAAAAAATCAATTAAGCATTTGCATATTCTTTTGCATACATTAGCCCTGCCTGCTGGCATTAGAAAGGGACAAAACACACACACACATACATATATACATACATACATACATACATACACAGAGGGGAAATGGGATAAGGGTCTTGCTTTAGTTTGGAGTTTTCAAGTTGTTTGGAGAAAAGAATAAAAATGAAATGAGTTATTTGATTGCATACTATCTAAAAGTCAATTTATTTCAGGAAGAAGAAAGAGATATGTTGCCATTTTCAATCTCTAAAATAACAAAAACCACATACATACACTAAAAGCAAAACCCTGCCCTTCTGCGAACGGGAAAGGAATGACTCTCATTTCCCTTCTCTTTGCTTTCCAAATCCTACATTGGTTCTCCCATTTATTTTTCTCCCTAGGAAAATTCAGGGAGTCTGAGAGGTGGATTTTAATGCAGCACAGAATCAGTGGAGCCGCTGAGGTCTCTCAGCCGGCAGCGTGTTACTGGGGAGGGGAGGAATATGGGTTATCCAACGGTCAGTATGGTAATCTGGGCACAATAAGGCCTCGCACACAATGGACACATATTTTTCTTCAGCGGTGTCAGAAGGGAAGCGCTTTGTACTGAAACATGTTTCCGAAAGAGAAACCAGATCGAGATTTAGAAAGGATATGGGGTCGGGGGGCATTCGGAGAGTGTTTGGAAGCTGGCAAAAGGTAGTCAGAAAAAAATAAAAAATAAAATTGGGTCAGAGAGAGGTGGAGGGCAGAGCCAGCTGGAGAGTAGAGAGAGTAAAGAGATCCTTGGGTTGGCAAGGCCAGAGGCAGGAGGGCGATGCACAAAAGGAGGCAGGACCAGACCAGATACTAGGCGTCACTGCAGGAGAGAGCCCCTGCTTTAGTGCCTCCCCC